TTCACTTCCACCTGGAGCTAGATTGGGTGGCTCCTGTGGACCAATCAGACTGCTGCATTCTGAATCCTATTGTTCTAGGACCGACCAGACTGCTGCATTCTGGATCCTATTGTTCTGGGACCAATCAGACTGCTGCATTCTGGATCCTATTGTTCTAGGACCAATCAGACTGCTGCATTCTGGATCATATTGTTCTAGGACCGACCAGACTGCTGCATTCTGGATCCTATTGTTCTGGGACCAATCAGACTGCTGCATTCTGGATCCTATTGTTCTAGGACCAATCAGACTGCTGCATTCTGGATCCTATTGTTCTAGGACCGACCAGACTGCTGCATTCTGGATCCTATTGTTCTGGGACCAATCAGACTGCTGCATTCTGGATCCTATTGTTCTAGGACCAACCAGACTGCTGCATTCTGGATCCTATTGTTCTAGGACCAACCAGACTGCTGCATTCTGGATCCTATTGTTCTAGGACCGATCAGACTGCTGCATTCTGGATCCTATTGTTCTAGGACCGACCAGACTGCTGCATTCTGGATCCTATTGTTCTAGGACCAACCAGACTGCTGCATTTTGGATCCTATTGTTCTAGGACCGACCAGACTGCTGCATTCTGGATCCTATTGTTCTGGGACCAATCAGACTGCTGCATTCTGGATCCTATTGTTCTAGGACCAATCAGACTGCTGCATTCTGGATCCTATTGTTCTAGGACCGACCAGACTGCTGCATTCTGGATCCTATTGTTCTGGGACCAATCAGACTGCTGCATTCTGGATCCTATTGTTCTAGGACCAACCAGACTGCTGCATTCTGGATCCTATTGTTCTAGGACCAACCAGACTGCTGCATTCTGGATCCTATTGTTCTAGGACCGATCAGACTGCTGCATTCTGGATCCTATTGTTCTAGGACCGACCAGACTGCTGCATTCTGGATCCTATTGTTCTAGGACCAACCAGACTGCTGCATTCTGAATCCTATTGTTCTAGGACTGACCAGACTGCTGCATTCTGGATCCTATTGTTCTGGGACCAATCAGACTGCTGCATTCTGGATCCTATTGTTCTAGGACCAATCAGACTGCTGCATTCTGGATCCTATTGTTCTAGGACCGACCAGACTGCTGCATTCTGGATCCTATTGTTCTGGGACCAATCAGACTGCTGCATTCTGGATCCTATTGTTCTAGGACCAACCAGACTGCTGCATTCTGGATCCTATTGTTCTAGGACCGACCACACTGCTGCATTCTGGATCCTATTGTTCTAGGACCAACCAGACTGCTGCATTTTGGATCCTATTCAATTCAGTACATAACACTCTCCTTGGTTGGAGCTTTTTCAACAGACGTTGGGTGAGTACAAGAAGGGCAACGAATCTTTGTACGCTCAGGGAAAGAGGCGATGTGATCGCAAGCAGCTCCATCTGGTACGTAGGCTGAGACCCTCCCTGCCCACAGACTGTCTCGCCAGAGTGGTGCATGCTCTGGTTATCTCCCGCTTGGACTACTGCAATGCGCTCTACGTGGGGCTACCTTTGAAGGTGACCCAGAAACTACAACTAATCCAGAATGCGGCAGCTAGACTGGTGACTGGGACTGGCCACCGGGACCACATAACACCGGTTCTGAGAGATCTGCGTTGGCGGGAAAGAAATTGCTGGACAAACAATTTGAACTGGAATACAAAAGAGGGAGGTATGAGGAGGTCCAGAAAATAAGTAAATTTAAAAATGGAGATGAAAAGGTGGTATTGTTTTTAACTGTTTTCTTTTTTGTCTTTTGTTTTTTGTTTTTTTTTTTTGGATTATGTATTGTGTATTTTTGAATTGTGTATTTCTTTTTTATGTTTTTATGTTTAATTTTTTATTGATGTGCTCTTTTTATTGGAAATCTTAATAAATATCATTAAAAAAAAAAAAAGAGATCTGCGTTGGCTCCCAGTATGTTTCCGAGCACAATTCAAAGTGTTGGTGCTGACCTTTAAAGCCCTAAACGGCCTCAAAGGCCCAGTATACCCAAAGGAGTGTCTCCACCCCCATTGGTCAGCCCGGACACTGAGATCCAGCGCCGAGGGCCTTCTGGCGGTTCCCTCATTGCGAGAAATAAGGTTACACGGAACCAGGCAGAGGGCCTTCTCGGTGGTGGCGCCCGCCCTGTGGAACACCCTCCCACCAGATGTCAAAGCGATAAACAACTACCTGACATTCAGAAGGCATCTGAAGGCAGCCCTGTTGAGGAAAGCTTTTAATATGTGACATTTTAGTGTATTTTTCATCTTTGTTGGAAGCCGCCCAGAGTGGCTGGGGAAACCCAGCCAGATGGGCGGGGTACAAATAATAAATTATTATTATTATTATTATTAGTGGCTATGGTGGCCAAACAAAGCCCATCTTCCGCAAAAAGGCAAAGACCACAAAGAAGATTGTGCTGAGACTGGAATGTGTGGAGCCCAATTGCAGGTCAAAGAGGTTGTTGGCCATTAAGAGGTGCAAGCACTTCGAGTCGGGAGGAGACAAGAAGAGAAAGGGCCAAGTTATCCAGTTCTAGGCTTCTGTGGAACCCATGGTTGGTTGATGTATGAAATGTTATAAAAGTCTTATTGGATCACCCCCCCAAAACCCTCCCCCAGATGTTGGGTGGCCAGGTGTCAGGGCATGTTTAGTTGCAATTCTTGCAATAATAATAATAATAATAATAATAATAATAATAATAATTTTATTTATACCCCGCCCTCCCCGGCCAAGACTGGGCCCAGGGCGGCTAACATCAAAATATAAAATAAAAAGGTAAAGGGACCCCTGACCATTAGGTCCAGTCGTGGCCGACTCTGGGGTTGCGGCGCTCATCTCGCTTTATTGGCCGAGGGAGCCAGCGTACAGCTTCCAGGTCATGTGGCCAGCATGACTAAGCCGCTTCTGGCGAACCAGAGCAGCGCACGGAAAAGCCGTTTACCTTCCCGCCAGAGTGGTACCTATTTATCTACTTGCACTTTGAGGTGCTTTTGAACTGCTAGGTGGGCAGGAGCAGGGACCGAGCAACGGGAGCTCACCCCGTCGTGGGGATTCGAACTGCCGACCTTCTGATCGGCAAGTCCTAGGCTCTGTGGTTTAACCCACAGCGCCACCCGCGTCCCAACATCAAAATATATAATATGTTAAAAACATAAAGTCAAACTATCAATTAAGATACAGCTTCAATCAGATTATGATCAAAACAAAAGCAAATCGGATGGCAACCCACGAATTATAACTATAAGGGTTGGGGATAAGTGCTCACCAGGCCCAAATATTTGTGCTGGTCTTAAATAATAATAATAATAATAATAATAATAATAATAATAATAATAATAATTTATTTATACCCTGCCCATCTGGCTGGGCTTCCCCAGCCACTCTGGGCGGCTTCCCAAAAAATATTAAAATACTGTAATACATCAAACATTAAAAGCTTCCCTAAACAGGGCTGCCTTCAGATGTCTGCTAAAAGTCTGGTAGTTGTTGTTCCCTTTGACATCTGGTGGGAGGGCGTTCCACAGAACGGGCGCCACCACCGAGAAGGCCCTGTGCCTGGTTCCCTGTAGCTTGGCTTCTCGCAGGGAGGGCCGGTGGGAAGCGTAAGGGAGGCCACTTGCATGCAGGGGCTTATAAAAGGATCTTGTAAAAGGAGGGGGGTGTCAGACTTTGCAGTGGGTTCAGCTGGATGACCTTTGGGGTCCCTTCCAACTCTATGATTTTGTCATTCTAGCCTGGCAGAAATACTCAGGGTGTGAGATCAGGCCAGCCAGGAGTGTGTGGCCTGGGAAGGGGGCCAGAGAGAGAGGACTTGGTTCCCCCCACCCTCCTGGGGGTCAGGGAGTAGATGGCATCTTGACCCATTTTTGCCCCGTGTAATTTCCAGTCTTTTTTTATTATTTTACATGCAGGTGGCAGAAAGGCAAGAGTTTCGGTTCCCATGTTTTTATTAGGATTTAGAGCCATTGCAAAAGAACAACAAGAAAGACAACAGTTTTGGTTGTAACGTACAGTATACCCGTATATTTTTATATATAAAATAAATAGTAAGAAAATATATCTTTTAATAAAAATAACATCAAATGGCCACTGGCCATGGAGGACGTGGGATAACAAAGAACAAATAAATTATTATTACTTTTATAATGAAGCTTATCACTACCTTAACAGTCTTCGAGAAAACGGATTATTTGTCCTGACTTTTCTGTGGGCATGAGTCCACCTTGGAAGTTTTTCCTGTGCAGTTTATTTCAGTGGGTTTCAGGAAATGAGAAATATTATTCTTCATTACACTTACAGCATAGTGTGCCTGCGAGGTAGTCTTTCCGAACCCCCCTGCCTTTTGCCAAATTATTGGCCACAGTCTGCAACAGTGGCGTAGCGTGGGTTGTCAGCACCCGGGGCAAGGCAAGTAATTTGCGCCCCCTAACCTGTGGAGCGCCCCCCAGATGTTGCGCCCGGTGCGGCCGGCCCCCCCTGCACCCCCCACGCTACGCCACTGGTCTGCAATTTGTTTTCTCTATAGAATCGTCAACCAAGCTAAGTTGAAAAGGTCCCTAGGTTGGGAGAAAGCTGCTCTAGAGTAATACTATTTTAAGTGGATTCCTCTGAAGTAAGAAGACGGTGGATTTGCTGCCAAAACAATTTAGCAAAATATTGCAGCCTTTGATTTTGCTCCAAAAACCAGGTCTGAATTCTGGATTAGCTGATGCAATTCCGATGGAGTTGCAGCATTGTGTGCAAAGCATAAGTCCTTCCAGCAGGGGGCAGCCTGGCTTGTCCGTTCCAAGAGAGAGAGAGAGAGCGCCCTCTTAAACCACTTTTGAAATAATAGCTATTCTGGGCAAACAGACGCAGATGCATGAATAAATAACATTTTTATGAACGCGCTGCACTTTAAATAATGATTCCCCTTTCTCCCTCCTCCCTCTTGAACTTGTTAATTCCAGGCCCAAGGAAATTAAAATAAATGACATAGTTTATTTTCTGCAATAGAGTTCCGTCAGGATTTGCAAGCGCTCGTTTTTTTCCTCCTTGGGCAATATTGCTTTTCTCTTGCCGGAAGAGAATTGCATCTGGATTGCATCTTGGTCCGGGTGTGGAAGGCTGCTGGCAAATGCTTTGCATGCAGGCGTTGAAACTTCGCAAATCCGAAAGGATGCAGGCATTCTTGTGCCAGGGCGTTTGTGGTCCAGGCTGGCTGCGAAGGATGGGATTTGTGGTCTAGAACGGCTGGAGGGCTGTTGAGTGGGGAAGTCAAGCATTTGGTCCAAATCTGGAGGCGGAAACGTTGTGATGAATGCGGACGGGTGGTCTTCCAGTTCCAGCTGGTCGTTTTGGGGAAACAGTGGGATAGAGAGGTCCTTGGTTGGCACAATTGGGTCGAGCTGGGTCTCAGTCGTAGGAGGGGCGTGGGTGATGGTGGTGCTGGGCGATTTGCCTTATATCTCTGTTCAAGAAACCATATAGATGCAGTCCCACAGCTACTTCCAGGCACTCTGGAGATTGCTGGGATGGAGAGAGAGAGAGAGAATATATGAGAACGAGAGCATCTGTATACCTATCGCAACAATTGGCCTTGCCAGGCTTGTCTTGGAAATTCTGTAATAGAATAATGCCAAATCATCTGTTAAATTATGCCAACTTATGTCTATGCAAGGGACGCGGGTGGCGCTGTGGGTTAAATCACAGAGCCTAGGGCTTTGCCGATCAGAAGGTCAGCGGTTCGAATCCCCGCAACGGGGTGAGCTCCCGTTGTTCGGTCCCTGCTCCTGCCAACCTAGCAGTTTGAAAGCACGTCAAAGTGCAAGTAGATAAATAGGTACTGCTCCGGCGGGAAGGTAAATGGTGTTTCCGTGCGCTGCTCTGGTTCGCCAGAAGCGGCTTAGTCATGCTGGCCAAATGACCCGGAAGCTGTACACCGGCTCCCTGGGCCAATAAAGCGAGATGAGCGCCGCAACCAGAGTCGGCCACGACTGGACCTAATGGTCAGGGGTCCTTTTACCTTTACCTTTTATGTCTATGGAATTAAAGGATGCCAAATCATATTAAAATTGTCTGGATGTTCTGGTCCTTGTTGAAATCTCAAATTATGAGCACAGTGGAACCTTGGTTCTTGAACTTGATCCGTTCCGGGAGTCCGTTTGACTCCCGAAACCGTTCGAGAACCAAGGCGCGCCTTCCGATTGGTTGCAGGAGCTTCCTGTACTCAAGCGAAAGCCGTGTTGGACGCTTGGCTTCTGGAAAGTGTTTGAAAACTGGAACACTTTTGGCGTTTGGGAGTCGATTTGTTCATCAACTAAGCCGTTCAAGAACCAAGGTTCCACTGTAATTTTCTCCATTACAGTTATATTGCGCCCTGTGTGAGTCAACCATTGCAATGTTGTTCTGCGGTCAACTATTTGTTGTTTAGTCATTTAGCTGTATCCGACGCTCCGTGACCCCCTGGACCAGAGCACGCCAGGCCCTCCTGTCTTCCACTGCCTCCCGCAGTTTGGTCAAACTCATGCTGGTAGCTTCGAGAACACTGTCCAACCATTTTGTCCTCTGTCGCCCCCTTCTCCTTATGCCCTTAATCTTTCCCAACATCAGGGTCTTTTCCAGGGAGTCTTCTCTTCTCACGAGGTGGCCAAAATTCTGTTATTCTATTTGCAAGGCTCCCCACCCAGTCCTCTCTATCCAACCCTCAAAGCTTTTCCCAGATCCACCCCCTCTTTGCCGGTCCTGTCTCGCACCCTGATGAAATCCACCGGGCTCTCACCTGGACATTTGTGGTGTTAAACGTCTGAAGCTTTTCCTTAAATTCCTGCAGGTGACTGGAGGCTCTGTGATCCGAAGGCTTGTGCTTTATCTGAATGAGAGAAGGGGATGTGGTTTAGAAATTCCCCTTCCTGGTGGAACTGGGGGCAGCGTGGGTGAGTGGGACAGAAAGGGGCTGAGAAACTACTTACGCAGTTCGCGAGTCTCCCTTGGAGGGGCATCAAGTACTCCTCCAACACGGGCTTGACGATTTTGGCAGACACAGTCTGGCTGTGGTTCCGCAGGACGGAGATAACCAAGTCGAGCTTCATTGCCAAGGCTTCTCGTTTATCCCATATCTGTCAAAAGAAGAGAGTTCAAGTCCTACCTTGTTGTTGTTTCTGCCTGGCGAGGCAGATTCCTAGAATTGCTTTTGGAGGGAGTGCGGCATTTATCACTTCTAATGCCCACCGGCGCTGGGGGATCCCTCCAGCGGAGAGGTCTGCGTCTAAGGTGGCACTGAGAAGCATTTCTGCCTCCGACCGTGGAGGCAGAGCAGAGCCATCCTGGCTAGGAGCCATCGACAGCCTCCTGTGGCAGGGAGTTCCACAGTCTAACCGCATGCTGTTTAGTGGTTTCTTTCACGTGAATCTCCCAGCAGGATGTCCACAAGTTCTCATGTTATGAGACAGGTAGGAAAATTTCTTCCTCTCTCTCCACTTTTCCCGTGCCGTGTATAACTTCATAAACTGCTGTCTCGTCTGCCTCTCTTCTCCTCTGAAACGTCCCAAACGCTGCAACGTTCCCTCACTGAGGAGTCTCTCTATCCTCTTGGTGGCTTTGGTTGCCTGGGTTATGGCTATTTGTGGCCAAAATAGGCTTCTCCAAATCTCTCTTGGGACGCGGGTGGCGCTGTGGGTTAAACCACAGAGCCTAGGACTTGCCGATCAGCAGGTCGGCGGTTCGAATCCCCGCGACGGGGTGAGCTCCCGTTGCTCTGTCCCTGCTCCTGCCAACCTAGCAGTTCGAAAGCACATCAAAGTGCAAGTAGATAAATAGGTACCGCTCCGGAGGGAAGCTAAACAGCGTTTCCGTGCGCTGCTCTGGTTCGCCAGAAGTGGCTTAGTCCGCTGGCCACATGACCCGGAAGCTGTACGCCGGCTCCCTCGGCCAATAAAGCGAGATGAGCGCCGCAACCCCAGAGTCGGCCACAACTGGACCTAATGGTCAGGGGCCCCTTTACCCTTTACCTAAATCTCTCTTAGATACATTTTCCTGCATCTAAACGAGGACACCCCACCCGTCTCAGGTCCTGGCTCTCTCCGCCATGGCAGGCGGCGTGTGGGACAGAATGGGGCTCATGTGCGATGCTTCCCCACCCCCAAGGAAAACAGGGCTCACTCACGTTGTCCAGAGATGCTTTGGGCCACCTGAGATGCTCCCTGGAGCAGTTCCTCCATGGCTGAGACTCTTTTCTCAAGTCCTCCTGGAATGACAAGGCACAGAAGCAAAGTTAGAATCATAGAATCATAGAATCCTAGAGTTGGAAGAGACCACAAGGGCCATCGAGTCCAACCCCCTGCCAAGCAGGAAACACCATCAGAGCATTCCTGACATATGGTTGTCAAGCCTCTGCTTAAAGACCTCCAAAGAAGGAGACTCCACCACACTCCTTGGCAGCAAGTTAGGGCCTCCTTGACGACATGCCGTGATCAAAACAGGTCACAGAATCATGGGGTTGTAGAGATGGAAGGGACCCCAAAGGTCATCCAGTCCAACCCCCGGCAATGCAGGAACTATGTAGGTCAGTGGCACGATGCTGTCAGGAGAATAGGGCATATTTCGACATGCAGTGGTACCTTGGTTTACGAGCACAATCCGTAAATCTGGATGTCCATTCGTAAACCAAAACAGGTCGTAACCCAAGACACGCTTTTGCCAGTGGGGCCTCCCAAAAAAATGTGTTCATAATCCAAAAAAATTAGTTCATAATCCAAAAAAATTTGTTCGTAATCCCAAAAAAGTTCGCAAACTGGGACACACGCTTTCGGTTTTGACCTGTTCGTAATCTAAAACGTATGCAAACCAGACTGTTCGCAAACCAAGGCACCACTGTATTCTCCCAAACTGGTTTGAGTCCATATCCTGAGATCAGTTTCGTAATTTTTGACCTGGCAATATATCGCGAATCATGATGTGTGTGTCTGCGCTATGCAAAAATCGTGATGTGAGGAAAATCGTGAAGCTTCTGCATAGCTCCATCCTTATTTCGGACATTGTGATTTATCGGTATCTTGCAATGTTTATCTGGTGATCTATCACAATGCTGAAAACCAGATATCGCCCAGCCCTGCAGGTGAATTTTCTTTCCGCAATCTGGGCGCTTTCAAAATCTTTTGGGAGCACCCAGTTTATGGCAGCCTGCCTTGTAGGTTGTTTGGCATCATGCCTGCCTTAACACACATTTGTTTAAAAACCCTTTATGAAAACATAAGAACCTCTATTTAAATGACAAGCAGGTTTAAGGCGGGGATAAGCCACTAATTGGATTTTTCTTGGGTTGGCTGCACATAGGGTTATATTGCTACATTCTGGAAGGGCTTAAGAGGTGAGGAAATGGGAGCAAGAGAGGGTGGTGTATCGCCCTTACAGAAAAGAACAAAACGAAAACGGTGCGCAAATTGAGACTGGCAAGCGGATCAAAGCAGAAAGGCACCTTTGCAAGAGAATTTGGGAGCTTCGTTTCGTCTGGAAAACCAAAGGCCGGTCGGGACCTCAAGGGTCATCTGGCCTGACCCTCTGCAATGCAGTCTCGAACCCACAACCCTGACGTTACGGGTTTCATGCTCTACCGACAGACTTATCCTAGGTGGGTTTATGCTAGTTTGTGAATTGCTTCATGATAAAAGGTTTTGTAGATGGGTACTGGGATAAGTTGAATGTGCTGTGGGTTAAACCACAGAGCCTAGGACTTGCCGATCAGAAGGTCGGCGGTTCGAATCCCCGTGACGGTGTGAGCTCCCGTTGCTCGGTCCCTGCTCCTGCCCACCTAGCAGTTCGAAAGCACGTCAAAGTGCAAGTAGATAAATAGGTACCGCTCTGGCGGGAAGGTAAATGGCGTTTCCATGCGCTGCTCTGGTTTGCCAGAAGCAGCTTAGTCATGCTGGCCACATGACCTGGAAGCTGTACGCCGGCTCCCTCGGCCAGTAAAACGAGATGAGCACCGCAACCCCAGAGTCGTTCGTGACTGGACCTAATGGTCAGGGGTCCCTTTACCTTTACCTTACTGGGAGAAGCTGAATGTGTGGGAATGTATGTTTTCATAATGTATTTTGGGGGTTCTCCATGGGTGAGGCCAGTCATTCAATCTCAGCCTATCCTACCTCGCAGGGGATTAAACAAGGAGGTAGAATCATAGAATCCTAGAATCCTAGAGTTGGAAGAGACCACAAGGGCCATCGAGTCCAACCCCCTGCCAAGCAGGAAACACCATCAGAGCACTCCTGACATATGGTTGTCAAGCCTCTGCTTAAAGACCTCCAAAGAAGGAGACTCCACCACACTCCTTGGCAGCAAATTCCACTGTCGAACAGCTCTTACTGTCAGGAAGTTCTTCCTAATGTTTAGGTGGAATCTTCTTTCTTGTAGTTTGGATCCATTGCTCCGTGTCCGCTTCTCTGGAGCAGCAGAAAACAACCTTTCTCCCTCCTCTATGTGACATCCTTTTATATATTTGAACATGGCTATCATATCACCCCTTAACCTCCTCTTCTCCAGGCTAAACATGCCCAGCTCCCTGGGTGCAGGAGAGCCACCTTGAGCTCTCTGGAGAAAACGGAGGGGTGCAAATCACATAAGAAACAAATAATTCATCCTACTTACGTATTTGTACGTAAGTTCTTTGAAGGCCTTCGTCACTTTCGGGGGCGAGAAGTCGCCGAAGAAGCACCAGTTGATGGAAGCTCCATCCGCCCGATAGATTTCCAGAAACAAAATCACGGCCGCGGCTGCCAGCAGAATCCGCTTCACAGGAGCTGAATCGAGAGAAGCGGGAGATGAAGGTTGTCCCTCAAACCAGGAATGACATCGCCCACCCTCTTCCCACAGAATTCCCAATATCCCATTGTTCTAAAAGCTTTGAAAACTGACTCCCAGTTTACAGGATTGCTGCCTTTTTGCATAGCCCAAAGCTCAGGGCTGGTGGGAATTGTAGTCCGGTAACAATTGGAGGGCACCAGCTCCCCCTCCAAATCCCGGGAACTGTAGTTTGATAAGGGCACTGAGAGATATTGGGAGATTCTGGGAGAGGAATTGGGGGGGGGGTGTCTCCTAACGACACTCCGCACCCTTATCAAACTACAGTTCCCAGGATTTCCCCCCAGAGGTTGTGGACGGTCCTTCCTTGGAAGTTTCTGAGTAGAGGTTGTGTGGCTCTCTGTCAGGGATCCCCCCCCCCAGCTGAGATTCCTGCATTGCAGCGGGTTGGACTAGATGACACTTGGGTGCCCCTTGCAATATATCTATGATTCTGTGATTCTCTGGCGGAAGAATCCATGCCTCTTTACACTGGTCTCACAGCATTTTAAGTGGAATAATAGTAATAATAATAATAATTTATTTATTATTTATGCCCCGCCCATCTGGCTGAGTTTGCCCAGCAGCTCTGGGCGGCTCCCAATCGAATGTGAAAAACAATACAGCATTAAATATTAAAAACTTCCCTAAACAGGGCTGCCTTCAGATGTCTTTTAAAGATAAGATAGCTCCTTATTTCCGTCACATCTGAAGGGAGGGTGTTCCATAGGGCGGGAGCCACTACCGAGAAGGCCCTCTGCCTGGTTCCCTGTAACCTCACTTATCGCAGTGAGGGAACCGCCAGAAGGCCCTTGGAGCTGGACCTCAGTGTCCGGGCTGAACGATGGGGGTGGAGACGCTCCTTCAGGTATACTGGGCCTTTGAGGCCGTTTAGGGCTTTCAAGGTCAGCACCAACGCTTTGAATTGTGCTTGGAAACATACTGGGAGCCAATGCAGATCTCTCAGGACCGGTGTTATGTGGTCCTGGCGGCCGCTCCCAGTCCCCAGTCTAGCTGCTGCCTTCTGGATTAATTGCAGTTTCTGGGTCACCTTCAAAGGTAGCCCCACACAGAGCGCAGTGCAGTAGTCCAAGCGGGAGATAACCAGAGCATGCACCACTCTGGCTAGATAGTCTGCGGGCAGGGAGGGTCTCATCCTGCGTACCAGATGGAGCTGGTAGACAGCTGCCCTGGACACAGAATTGACCTGCGCCTCCATGGACAGCTGTGAGTCCAAAATGACTCCCAGGCTGCACACCTGGTCCTTCAGGGGCACAGTTGCCCCATTCAGGACCAGGGAGTCCTCCACACCACACCACCCTCTGTCCCTCAAGAATGGTCCTTCTGTCTTGTCAGGATTCAACCTCAATCTGTTAGCCGCCATCCATCTTCCAACCGCCTCCAGACACTCACACAGGACCTTCACCGGTTCTGATTTAAAAGAGAGGTAGAGCTGCGTGTCATCTGCATACTGATGAACACCCAGCCCAAACCCAGAACACCCAGTGGAAGGTGTGCGGATGCGACCCTAAGGCCTTTTGTTCTTGGGAGAAATCAGATGCCCTCTCTCTCAATCCTTCAGCCTCGTGTGCAAAGCTTTTAAGGACCACCTGAACGGCCTCCCTTGGGATGTGGTGGACTCTGCTTCCTTGGCGGTTTTTGAGCGAAGGTTGGAGGGCCATCTGTCATGGATGCTTCAGCTGAGATTCCTGCATCGCAGGGGGTTGGGCTGGATGACCCCAGGGGTCCCTTCCACTTCTATGATTTTATGATTCCCTGCCCTTTGGCGATGGCATTTGAAGGCAATCACTTCTCGGGGCTTCGCCCTTTGTTTCCGCACCCGGAACCCGTTCCAAAGCAATTCCACGCTGAGCTGGGACCCGCTCAGCGCAGATTCATATGCTCCTTAATCACACAGCTGTTTGCAGCCAGATTCCTCTCTGCTTTGCATCCTTGGGTTTATAGTTCCTGAAAGGCCACTAATCTGTGTCATTATGGAATCACAAACAGCTCTGGTGTTGTGCCCTGTGCCAGGCGGCTTGGCTTTGTGCGAGATCTAAAGGAACGCCAGGCAAGGCCTGCCGTTAATGGCTCCCAGCGCAGACATGGGTTGATTCGGGACATTAATATCCCCCTCGCAGGCCGGTAATTAAAAATCCCACTTGGGTTTACCGGCATCTTAAACCGACACCGTATTTTCTCAAAGGAGGGTGTGTGTGTGTGTCGGGAGGCACGGATGAGGTTTGGCTTGAGGCGGGGCAAAACCTAGTCCTCCAAAATGCAGCGAGGGCTGAATCCTGACCGCCACTAATTGACGCTAAACACAGCGGATGGCGTTGCTCACGAATGAAATTGGCAGGGAGTCTCACATTGTTGCCGCGTTTAATGGAGCCTGGCAGACGTTTTGATAATCGGGGGGTGGGAGAAGAGAAGGAAGATGGCGAGGTGGGGAATAGCTGGAAGGTGAATTGTTTTCACGAGGCAGCGAGGGAGTCGGTTAAGCAACAGGAGCACCAACTATAGGAGGCCCTCAGCACCCACATCACAGGGCCCCCCGATGTAACTTTTGGTGCCTTGCAAAGCCACCAGAAATCAGGCTCCAATACCTTATGAATAATAATAATAATAATAATATTTTTATTTATACCCTGCCCTTCCCGGTTCAAAAACCGGGCTCAGGGCGGCTAACAACAAATTTAAAACACTTTAAAACACTTAATTATAAAGCAGCATAAAATACGGTATAAAAACATGAATAACAATAAAATTCAAAAATAATCAATCAGATAATCCCCAGGGCTAGCTGGCTGAATTGGTCCTACTTGGGCCAGCGACGACACCAGGGGAGAATTAGCTGTGGGGTCTCAGAGCGGGTGATCTTCATAAAAGGGGAGGGGGAGGGAAGAGAAGGGAAATAAAAGATCAGGCTGAATTCAAATTAAAGGCCAGGCGGAATAGCTCTGTCTTACAGGCCCGGCAGAAGGAGGTTAAATCCTGAAGGGCCCTAGTCTCCTGGAACAGCATTCCACCAGGTCGGAGCCATCACTGAGAAGGCCCTGGCCCTGGTGGAGGTTAGTCTGACTTCCTTAGGGCCTGGGACCTCTAAACTGTGGTTATTCATGGACCTTAAGGTCTTCTGCGGGGCATAACAGGAGAGGCGGTCCCGTAGATATGAGACCTTGGACAGCATCTCTGAGGCCTTGTGAGACCGGAAGCAGAGGCACAGCAAGGTCAGCTGTTTTTCAGGAAGGTTGCCCAGAGTTCTTTAGCTTTTTTAGGATACCCCAAAGTTCCCGCGGATCGCACAAATCCAAACGACGGTCACATAAAACCATGTCAGCACTGCACGTCGGCGTTGTGAGCCAATCACACCAATCACGAAAATCCGCCCTCCGGGGTTGTGAGCGCCGCAATGCCAATCCGCTTGGGGGGATTTTGTCACACACACACCCCAGCTGTGACACCTGGGGCAGACCACCAACCCACCCCCTTTGCAACACCCCAGACCAGAAGTCAGGTTCCGAGGCTGTGGGGCGCGTGATGTCATGATGTCATGTCAAGACATTGCAGCATGCTGGGCTCCCATAAACTGGAGCCCAAGATGGCGCCCCTGCGAAGCAGGACGGCAGTGGGAGGGGTAAAAGGGGGTCATCACTGAGAGTGACCCTTTCAAATGCTTCTTTGGTTTCTTTTGCACAGTCCTCTTTTTAGCCACGATTCCTGCATGACAGGGGGATGGGCTCGATGGCCTTTGGGTGTCCCTCCCTGCTCTGCCGTCCCGTGATGCTAATTCCCCTGTGGTTGGTTATAACCACAGGCCAAATCCCATACTGATTTGAAGGGCTGGTTTGCTCGCCTCCAGAGGATGATTTCCAGAAACTGGTTTTCCCTTCTGTGAAATGGGTGTAATAACAAAGCTGGCGTTCAGAGGCATTTACTGGCTCCAGCCGTGGAGGCAGAGCCCAGCCGCTATGGCTAGTAGTGCTTGAGAACCTTGACCTCCGTGAGATGGGGAGAAGCAGGGTTTTTTGGAGGGAGGATGACCTGCAAACTGTCACAGACTCTCCCTGGGATTGCAAAGCTGCAAATCAATGCACTGGAGGTCTTTAGTGTGAATGAGGGACTGTGGGGCAAGCCAGCCTGGAAATAGACCCCCGTTTCTGCAGACCTTAGGGCTCGAAGCAACCACTTTATCCTCCTCAATACTCCTGCCGAGACATCCTTGATCCACTTCCTCGCGGCAGAAAGCCCATTGCACCTTGCCCGGGTGAGCGTGGCTTTCAGCGACAAGGAAGAATAATAGCTTTCCGTTGCCTTCATGACAGCCTTTTAAAATCTGAAGAGCATCATTAAACGGGCTGGGCACATAATCGCCTTTCCCTTCCTAAGCCGAGCGTCGCCAGGGGCTCCAGCCTCCTCTGCTAAACCCCTGTTCCTACTGGGTCCTCCCCTCTCTGACTTGTGGTTTCGGTCGCCTCCAACTTCCTTAAAACACAACATGTGGAAAGGAGGGCGCCCACCAGCTGCGACGGCGCATGTGGGGCAGCAGAATTAATTGGTGCGCTTTGCATGGGATGCTGCTGCTGAGGCTAATCCAGTTCTTCAAAGGCGAGCGGGCGCCTTTGGGAAAAAGCATTGCGTGGTGAGTCATAGACTCATAGACTGGGAGACCCCAACGGTCTCTAGTCAAACCCCCCTGCAATGCAGGAACCACAGCTAGAGAATCCCTGGCCTTTGTTAAAAAACCCAAAAAACTCCAAAGAAGCCTAGATAGTGCACTTGGTTCGAACATAAAAAGGTAAAGGACCCCTGGACAGTTAAGTCCAGTCAAAGGCAACTATGGGGTTGCGGCGCTCATCTCGCTTTCAGGCCAAGGGAGCCGGCATTTGTCCACAGACAGCTTTCCGGGTCATGTGGCCAGCAGGACTAAACCACTTCTGGCGCAACGGGACACTGTGACGGAAACCAGTGCGCACGGAAACACCGGTTTACCTTCCCACCGCAATGGTACCTATTTATCTACTTGCACTGGTGTGCTTTCAAACTGCTGGGTTGGCAGGAGCAGGGACCGAGCAACGGGAGCTCACCCCGTCGTGGGGATTCGAACCGCCGACTTTCTGGTCAGCAAGCCCAAGAGGCTCAGTGGTTTAGGCCACAGCGCCACCCGCGTCCCTGGTTCGAACTTGGTGCTGATAACGCCAAGGTTGTAGGTTTGATCCTCATAAGGGACAGTTTCACATTCCTGCATTGCAGAGGGTTGGACTATATGATTCCTGGTCTCCCTTCCAAATCTACAATTCTATGATTCTATAATTCTGTGAAGGAGAGCTCTACTTCTTCTGAAAGAAAGGAGTGCAGGAGCTTCCATGAAATCGCCTGCCCACTGCTAGATCCTGGACTAAACAGGTGCACAGCTCACGGGATCATGACTCGCTGTGGATTTCTCTTTACATTATTTTTGCAATTGAAACCTCTGCGTATAAACCAGCAGGTGCCAACAACGCTTTGCAATTTGCCCTCTTTTGCTCTCGTTTCTTTTTGGAGGAGGGTAACGTGCAACTGAAAGCAATGACAAACATCACCTTGCCAGCAAAGGTCCGTATAATTCAAGCTATGGTTTTCCCAGTAGTGATGTATGGAAGTGAGAGCTGGACCATAAAGAAGGCTGATCGCCGAAGAATGGATGCTTTTGAATTCTGGTGCTGGAGGAGACTCTTGAGAGGCCCATGGACTGCAAGGAGATCAAACCTCTCCATTCTGAAGGAAATCAGCCCTGAGTGCTCACTGGAAGGACAGATCCTGAAGCTGAGGCTCCAAGACTTTGGCCACCTCATGAGAAGACTCCCTGGAAAAGACCCTGATGTTGGGAAAGATGGAGCTACCAGCATGAGTTTGACCAAAGCTACCAGCATGAGTTTGACCAAACTGCGGGAGGCAGTGGAAGACAGGAGTGCCTGGCGTGCTCTGGTCCAGGGGGTCATGAAGAGGCAGACACAACTAAACGACTAAACAACAACAACACAACACCCATCATCCACAACTGTTGGTCAAGCTGGGTTGGAGAGGGGCTGTTGGGATTTGGAACTTCACAACATCTCAAGGTCATTGGCTACCTGTGGCATGGCCTAGTATCATGGAACTGTAGAGTTGGAAGGGACACCCAGAGACATCTAGTCCAACCCCCCAGATTCTTGCACAGTGGGGGCTGGACTAGATGAGCCCGGGGTTCCCTTCTAACTCTACAATTCCACGATTCTGTGATTCTATGAGAGTCATTAAGAGACGGATCCTGGCTGGTCCTAGCCCCCTTTCCTTGGGATTACATCTTGGGGGGCCCCAACCTCTAGGCAGGTGGGTATTTTGGGGCGAAAGGCATGTGAATGAGATTCCAGGAGGAGACTTTGTTGACTAGGGAGGAGGAAGACTTTGGGGCCAAATGGATGCCCTCGTTCCCCAGCCGCCCTGCTGGGTGTTCCTGGGAGACGGCTAATTGCACCATTACCACCACGGAGAGGGAAAACTCTGATAAATAAAATATTGGAAAGGAAAGATGGGTTTTGAGAAGCGCTGGGAGATAATTGCCTCGACGCTTCTCGTCCTCCGGAGCCAGAATCATTTGTCACTGTTTAGGGCTTCAATTATTCCTCTGTAGCTACATTTGCATGGGGAAGGTGAGTAATTGGGCAATTAGCATAAGGTTAAGAGGGATCTTGCCGCCGGGGTGTCCTGGCAAGGAATGGGGGTCTGGGGTATACGTGTTTGTGTGGTGGGGGGAAGGCGGCAGGGTTTGGGGAGCTGACCCCCCCAGAGACCTTTGCGAAAGGTGACTGGCGGGTTCTTCAAAGAGCAGAGAAACCGGCAGGTGTGCCGAGACACCTGTCCTCCGTTTCTGGCAGCGCACACCAGGCTTCTCCAACCTAGAGCTCTGCAGGTGCTGACCCACCAGCCCAGCTGTGGTCCAAGGCATCCGTATTCTTATTCTTATTATTCTTATTGTTGTTATTATTACTACTATTACAGTGGTACCCTCGGGTTAAGTTCTTAATTCGTTCCGGAGGTCCGTTCTTAACCTGAAACTGTTCTTAATCTGAAGCACCACTTTAGCTAATGGGGCCTCCTGCTGCTGCTGCGCCGCCGGAGCACAATTTCTGTTCTCATCCTGAAGCAAAGTTCTTAACCTGAAGCACTATTTCTGGGTTAGCGGAGTCTGTAACCTGAAGCGTATGTAACCTGAAGCGTATGTAACCCGAGGTACCACTGTATTATTATTTGGAGCAGAAATATCTTTTGCATTTGGCTCTCTTCAATATCCATGCAGGGACAATGACTTCTAGAGTTGGAAGGGACCACATAAGTTATCTAGTCCTAACTTCTTGCAATGCAGGAATCTTTTACCATTGTAGGACTCGAACCCAAGACCCTAAAATTAAGAGCCTCGCAGAATCCTAGAATTGTAGGGTTGGAAGGGATACCAGCGGCAATGCCCCAACTGAGCTTATAGAATCACAGAATCATGGAATTAGTTAGAAGGGAACCCCAGGGTCATCTAGTCCAACCCCCCGATTCCTGCACAGTGGGGGCTGGACTAGACGATCCAGCGATTTATATTTATATTCCACCCGTTTCTCCAAAGAGCTCAAGGCAGCAGGTGTGTTTCTGCCCCTTCTCACTTAATCCTGGCAGCCCAAATGCAACAGGCGCAGCTCTTCTTGTTACTCCCCCTGTTGAGTGGGGTGGATTCGAACCAGGTTCTCTCCCTGGTCCTAACCCACCACCCTAACCGCTACACCACCCCTGAAAAGCACCGGGTTGGAGAAGGCCGCTGTGCACTTATGCCACCCCACCTGCCCCACAGAGATGCCCTGCCTTAAAGAGCTGTCCGGCAGGCGGAAATCCAACAGGTGCAGCTCCCTTATCAAAAAAAGCTGTACGGATTGAATTTCTGCCCCTCTCCAGCTGCTAAAAGGCACACAGACGCTCTCCTCTTCCCTCCCTTTCGCACTTTCGCACCCACTCCATTCCAGCTGATTACTTGTATAAGTTTTAGGAGGTGAACTGAGCCAATTAAAATCTGCACGCATTTGCATATGCATGGAATCAAGAATTCTAGAGAAAACAGCATGCTGCCTTTGCTTCTGAAACGATTCTCGCTTGTTTCTCCCACCAGGCCGCCTCGTAGGAGGGACACACTTTGCTCTCTGACCCTGTCTTTGTCAACCTGGTGCCCTCTAGCTAGTTTGGACTCAGCGATACACTGGGAGCCGCTCAGATTTCACCCCTGTGTTTTCCACTGACCCCCCAACTGAGTGCAGTGGTACCTCTGGTTACGGATTTAATTCATTTCTGGGTGCCGTGCTCACCCAGAAAAATCCGTAACCAGAGGCTCCGCTTCTGCACAGCTCATGTGGCCAGCATGACTAAGCCGCTTCTGGCGAACCAGAGCAGCGCACGGAAACGCCGTTTACCTTCCCGCCGGAGTGGTACCTATTTATCTACTTGCACTTCGTGCTTTCGAACTGCTAGGTTGGCAGGAGCAGGGGCCGAGCAACGGGAGCTCACCCCGTCACAGGGATTTGAACTGCCGACCTTCCGATTGGCAAGTCCTAGGCTCTGTGGTTTATCCCACAGCGCCACCTGCATCATAGTTGAGACCAAAAAGCTAACATTGTCCGATTCATTCCAAACGGGTGCCAAACCTTTGCAAACTTGCATCGCAAAACCCATGGTTTGCCTCCCCCTCCCCCGTTCTGCGCCAAGCTGAAAGATTCCAGGGCGGTGAACCAGACGGCACGCCTATTTTTCCTCTTCCTGCCAGGGCAGAATACCTTTTGTGCTGCAAGCGTGACATCACCTCTAGGCACTGACTTGGCTAACAACACATGGGAATTCCTCTGGCTCACAGCCAGCACCTGTCACCTATTTTCGCTTTGCTCTGCCTGCTCTCCGAACCCTGTGGCGGGAGAGTTCGCCAACTCGCTGTGTCGAGTCCTGAAAATGGAAAGCTGTGACATGGAGTACCCAGTAAACTCCGATCGGGTGCCAAACTTTTGCAATAGTTTGGAGTGAAGAGGACAATGGTGGAGTTATTTTTTTGGGGGGGATATCTATGACCCCATGGTTTGAGTGTCAGTTACTCAATTTGGGGGGCCGCTGCAGAATGTGGCGTTTGTGGTGCAAAAGGGTGCAAAACGATTACAATAGTTTGGAACCAGTTTGAAGTGAATTGGAGAATGTTGAGGGGTTTATTTGGGGGGGGGGATAACGACGCCCCCCCCCCCAGTTTGAGTAAGTTACTCAGTTTGTGGGCTGGTGCAAAATGCGGGGTTTGTGGTACAAAAGAGTCAGAACAAGTGCAAAGGTTTGGCACCAGTTTGGAGTGAATCAGACAATGTGGGGATTTTTTTGGGGGGGGATACCTTGACCTTGGCTTGAGCCACAATTACTCTGTTTGGGGGCTGCTGCAAAAGGGTGCAAAACTATTGCAAAAATTTGGCACCACTTTGGAACAAATTGGACAAAGTCAGGGTTTTGTGGGATACCAATTACCCCTGGTTTGAGTGCCAGTTAATTGGTTTGGGGTCTGGTGCAAAACACGGGGTTCACGGTGCAAAAGGGTGCAGAATGAGTGCAAAAGTTTGGCACCAGCTTGTTTCAATTGGACAGCTTTGGGGTTTTTTTTGGGGATACCTCAGACCCCTGGTTTGAGCGTCAGTTAATTCGTTTGGGGTCCGGTGCAAAACATGGGTTTCACGGTGCAAAAGGGTGCAAAATTATTGGAAAAATTTGACACCACTTTGGAACGAATTGGACAATGTTGGGGTTTTGTGGGATACCTCGGACCCCTGGTTTGAGTGCCAGTTAATTGGTTCGGGGTCCGGTGCAAAACACAGGGTTCACGGTGCAAAAGGTTGCAGAATGAGTGCAAAAGTTTGGCACCAGTTTGTTTCAATTGGGCAGCTTTGGGTTTTTTGGGGGGATACCTCGGACCCCTGGTTTGAGTGTCAGTTAACTGGTTTGGGGTCTGGTGCAAAACACGGGGTTCGCAGTGCAAAAGGGTACAGAACTAATCAGAATCATAGACCTGCAGAGTTGCAAGGTTTCCTGGGGGTCATCTAATCCAATCCCCTGCAGTGAGGAATCACAACTAAGGAATCCCCGACTGATCGCCGCCCAACCTCTGTTGGAAGACCTCCAATGTATCATCGAGTGGTAGAGTTGGAAGGGATCCCAAGAGTAATCTAGTCCAACCTGCTGCAACAAAGCCATCGCAGTTACCCCGATCCGAAGGAACCGATCACACACTCGACTCTATAACTTGAGCCACAGTGTCGAAGCAAAGAAGTCGTCGTGTCCTTACCTGTTCCCATCGTAATTCTGTCGCGATGTCTGAGGGTTCAAGATGCACGTCCTCTTCGTTCCCCAGAGCAGATCTGTGTGTTTTGGATCCTCCATGGCCCAGGTATTTATACCTGCACAGCTTTCTGTTTTCAGGACACAAAACAGCGAGCCGGGGAACTCGACCATTCGAATAAAGTGTCGGGGAACTCGCAACATGATGTTCCGAAACACTCGAAGGAAAGTCGAAAAAGCCGACAGGTGCTGGCTGTGAGCCAGAGAAATTCCCAGGTAATCTTGGCTGAGTGCCTAGAGGTGATGTCATGCTTGGGGCATGAAAGGCCTTCTACCCTGGCAGGAGGAGGAGAATGGGCGTGCCCGACAGCGTGACATCACCTCTAGGCACTGACTTGGCTAACAACGCCTGGGAGTTCCGCTGGCTCACAGCCAGCACCTGTCACCTATTTTCGCTTCGCTCTGCCTGCTCTCCGAACATCGTGGCGGGAGAGTTCGCCGACTCGCTGCGTCGAGTCCTGAAAACAGAAAGCTGTGCCATGGAGTACCCAGCACACTCTGATCGGGTGCCAAACATTTGCAGTAGTTTGGAGTGAAGAGGACAATGGTGAAGTTATTTTTTTGGGGGGATATCTATGACTCTGCGGTTTGAGTGTCAGTTACTCAATTTGGGGGGCCGCTGCAGAACGTGGGGTTCGTGGTGCAAAAGGGTGCAAAACGATTACAAAAGTTTGGCACCGGTTTGAAGTGAATTGGAGAATGTTGAGGTTTTTTTTGGGGGGATAACGACGCCCCCCCAGTTTGAGTATGTTACTCAGTTTGTGGGCTGCTGCAAAACACGGGATTTGTGGTACAAAAGAGTCAGAACAAGTGCAAAGGTTTAGCACCAGTTTGGAGTGAATCAGACAATGTGGGGTTTTTTTTGGGGGGGGGGGGAGGATACCTCAACCTTGGTTTGAGCCTCAATTACTCTGTTTGGGGGTTGCTGCGAAATGGTGCAAAAGCGTAATCGCAGTTGCCCCGATCCGGAGGAGTCGATCCCCGACACACACCTGACTCCGCAACCTAAGCCGCAGTGTCGAAGCAAAGAAGTCGCTGTGTCCTTACCTGTTCCCATCGTAATTCTGTCGCGATGTCTCGGGGTTCAAGATGCACGTCCTCTTCGTTCCCCGGAGCAGATCTGTGTGTTTTGGATCCTCCATGGCCCAGGTATTTATACCTGCGCAGCTTTCTGTTTTCAGGACACAAAACAGTGAGCTGGGGAACTCGACCATTCGAATGGTGTTGGGGAACTATCGCAACATGATGTTCCGAAACACTCGAAGGAAAGTGAAAAAAGTCGACAGGTGCTGGCTGTGAGCCAGAGAAATTCCCAGGTCATCTTGGCTGAGTGTCTAGAGGTGATGTCATGCTTGGCACACAAGAGGCCTTCTACCCTGGCAGAAGGAGGAGAAATAAGCGTGCCCATCAGCCCTGGGATTTTGCAACTCAGATCAGAACGGGCAACCGGCGGCTGGCTTGGGCAGGTGTTTCTTTTCCGGTCCCCTTGGGGTGATTTGGAAACAGGTTGTGGGGCAGCACCCTCACTTATTTCTTTTGCTCTAGGGGGAAGAAAGCTCAGTGGAGCAGAGAGGTGTGTGGGTGTGAGAGGTTTGTGGCTGTGTGCCCTTGCGCTTTCATGCGACGCGATTGTGGAACTGCTGAGCTTGTGGTGGAGAGGTGGAAAAGGAAAGCCGTCTGAGAGCCTGGTTCGCGGGGAACTTCCTAGGGAATCGAGAGGTGAAGCGCCGGACTTTGAGCTCTGACCTTTGAAATGCTTTTGGTTTTTCCTTCCTGTTTTCTTTTTCTACTCCTGACTGGCGACTGAGCTCGAGGGAGCCAGGACTGCGTTTCTCATGTGATGTCTTGCGGCCTTTGAACATTATGAAGGTTTGCTTTATGCCTGGCAGCCTGAAGGTACGTAACCTGACGCTTTATTCTGCCTTGGTCAGACCTCCTCCCAGTTCTGGGTACCCCAGTTTAAGAAGGATATCGACAAGCTGGAAGGTGTGCAGAGGAGAGCAGCCAGAATGATGACGGGGATGAAGCCAAGCCTGATGAGGAACGGTTGAGGGAGTTGGGTCTCTTTATCCTGGAAAAGAAGAAACGATATGAGAGCCATCTTCAAAGGGCTGTTGATGATGCAAGCTTGATGCATCAGAGACGATGACCTAAAGCAAATGATTCAAATGACAAGGAAGGAGTTTCCGACTAAACATTCGGAAGAACTTTCTCTTTGACAGTGGAAGCTAGTGGAGTCTCCTTCATTAGAGGTTTTTAAGCAGAGGTTGAAAGTTGGGATTCTTCAGCTGTGCCTTGCAGGGGGTGAGACTAGATGGCCCCTGGGGTCCCTTCAAACTCTACAAACTCACGTTTCTATTATTTTTATTTTTGTTATTAGTTACCTGTCTTTCAGCCTAAGCTCCCAGGGTGCACTGCAGCATTAGAACACAAAGCCAAGCGGATAAAATAAAACAAGAGAGCAAGAAATCTGGAATCTCTATGCAGTGTTTCTAGAAAGACAGTTGTTTTCTGGGTGTCCCTAGGACATAAATAGCTTCACAGCTTTCTGAAGCTGTCAAAAGCACAGCCAAGGATTTCGGGGGGGGGGTGTATTTTTTTCTTTTTGCTTGAACATGAGCAAGTATTCAAACCGCAAGCCCTGTTTTTTAATTCCTTGCAGAGGCAAGAACGGCTGTTTTGTCTCTCCGTTCCTTCCACTCTGTCTCCCCCGGTTTCATTGCAGAAGCAGATTCTGGTTTATTAAAAACCAGGCAATTTCTCCAACAGCTCTCAAGAGAGGGAGGGAGGGAGGGAGTGAGTGAGTGGGAAGCATGAATCGGAGAGGTCCAGAGTCCACATCGGCACTTGCAATTACGGAACCAGCCGTGGTAATTAGGCCGGCTTAATTAATACGGAGCGGGGCAGTGGAACCGGGAGAGCTTAAACTTGCCCGGCTTATTTGTTTTATAAAGGACACATTATGTATTTATTTGTTTTTATTATTATTTACACACACACACTTATAGAGTGACAAGTATAAAAGCAGACGCCGTATAAATTCAAAGCAGAGAGGGATATCCGGAAGTTGAATCACAGCAGCAAATTTCCATGCCAAAATCAAACGTCATAAATCAATATCGCAAGGTTCCGAGTAACAGAAATGGCTTGACGTTATCCTGTCCCTTATTGCTCCAGTTACATTATAAAAAGGCTTTGTTTCTCGATAAAGACCTAATCTTGTTTGCCTGCCTGCTCTACTCCTCACCATACATAGATGCTTCGCGCAATGTCCCAGATTTCAGTCATCTATTCTCTTATGCACAGAGCCTCTCATTTCCCCCTCCAGTTTTGACAAATAGTAATTCTGGCAGCAGTTAAGAGATGGCACATTAAAACCCTGTCCTCCATTAGCACAGTTTTTTTAGCCTAGCCAAAGAGTAAAATTAGAAGATCCATAATTATTTTCGTTTTGTTCTGTATTCCATGCACCCGCTTTCTCTAAGAGGCTCAGAGAACAACCGCAGGAGGGAGGTCAGGCAGGGTGAGAGTGAAAGTGATCAGCAAAAAGGAGAAGGAAGTCTCCCCAGACAGTGGAAACTGAAAGATGAAGGATCTGATGCCTCAATGGAGCCGTCTATTTTCTCCCCCCCAAAAAAATTAGCCTCCAACATTTTTTGGGGGGGGGGGGGAGGGGAGAAGGCTATTTGGGCTCCACTTTGGAAACTCATGGGATGGACCTGAGAGTGATGCCATTGTTCGACTCAAGAGCCATGGGATTTCTACAAAAACAGTTTTGCGCCTGTCTATTGGGGGAGATAGGAAGCCCTGAACACATAAGTAAGCTCACAGTCTGAACACCCCGTATATACCGTATTTTTCGCTCTATAAGACGCACCAGACCACAAGACGCACCTGGTTTTTGGAGGAAGAGAACAAGAAAAAAAATATTCTGAATCTCAGAAGCCAGAACAGCAAGAGGGATCGCTGCGCAGTGAAAGCAGCAATCCCTCTTGCTGTTCTGGCTTCTGGGATAGCTGTGCAGCCTGCATTCGCTCCATAAGACGCACACCCATTTCCCCTTACTTTTTAGGAGGGAAAAAGTGAGTCTTATAGAGCAAAAAATACGGTAATAAAGGAGATGATATTGGCAGGAGGGGAAAGAGGAGGGTGGCAGGGCAGCTGGTGAGCTCAGTGGTGAGAGAGCCCAGTTGCAGGGTTGGTAGAAAGAAGTCTGCAGCCCACAGACTCAAGTTGCTATTGCTGCTGGAGGGGCAAAAGGAGGACAGGGAAGTATCAAGAGGCAGGGAGTTCCAAAGGAGAGGTGCTGCGCCACCAAAAGGTAGATTTACTACGAATGCAGCATGTGCTTATACAGGAAGAGAGAGAAAGAATATTATGCAGCCACCAGAAGAATAAGCACATGGGTAGATTTTAAACAGACACATACAGGGGGAGAAAAAGGAATGTATTTCACACAAAATGCAATTCCTGGGAAATACTGACCAGCCAGGTTGCACTTTCCTTGTTAAGTAAAGCTTAAAGTAAAGGTAAAGGTACCCCTGCCCAAATAAAGCTTACTCGAGAGTAAATTTACCCACTGAAGCACAGAAGTAAGAAAAAGCCTCAAAGAGATAGAAACTAAAGGGGTAAAAGACCCATTTACCAAGGGAGGCCAGGGATCCTGGCCGATCTTACAGAAACTGATATTATCAGGCTTCCCATAACTCCCTTAGCCAACCCAATCCAAGCTAAAACCTACACCCAGATACACAGTCACTGCCCATGGAAGTTCTACTTTTGAAAAACAAATTACTCCCCCCCCCCAACTGGAAGGGATGCTCGTTTTTCCTTTGGTCATACATTCACAATACTTCTTAGGATTCCTCACAAGGCCTTTTACTTCATGAGGAGACCTGCTTAAGGCTAAAGGAACGTCAGGCACTACATTTAACTTATAAGAGCCATTTTGCTCAGCTAGACTATTTGCAGAGGAAATTTACGTATTCCAGGAGGCTACTTCGCAGCATATTGTAAAAGGAGACTAGAACATTGCTGTAGGTAAGTTCTCTCAGAAACTCCCAAGTTTCAACAATTATTTTTTTAAAAACAAAAAAATCAAAGTTACAAATGTTCTTCCTCCCTTAAGCTGTAGAGGGAAGGGGGGAAGTTTCCCCTCTCAGACCACAGGCATACACGTACAAATGATTTTTTTACTACTTGGAAAGAGATTCTCCCTTTCTAGACTCCCTCAAATAACAAACATTTGGACACCTCATTCCCCCCCCCCCAATATTTGCCATGTTTGATCAGGCCCAACACGGCTTCTTTAAACTAATATTTTGAAGCAAGCTTGCAATTTAAAACTCTGTGCATGTAAGATAGCAGCCATAGGATGTTACCTGTGAAGCCAATTTAAACACACACACAAACACTTCTAGACCTTTGAGTACAAAAATTATTTGCTCCAAGGGAAACAAAGATTTCCAGCAAGTGGATTTTTTTTTTATTTTTTTTTTTGCTGCCTTCTGAGCACATTAGGTTTACAGTTTCATGTCCTGGCATTCTCTTCCTGTTATGTACTGAAGTTCTCACCCTGGGCCAGCAGGGGGATACCGTAGATAGTTATGCAAATGAAGGATCGAAAGTGACGTTCCGTGATTGGATAGTTTTAGAAAATGGCAACAGTTACATTGTTCTGGAGCTCTATATAAGCAGGTTGTCTGAGCTCCTCAGTTCAGTTCTGTTCCAGCTTACAAATAAAGAGCTGCTTTGGAAGAATCGCTGTGTCGTCTGATATGTTCGCCCACGACTTAACACTTCCAGTTTAACGACGCAAACTGAAAAGGCAAATCTGAGGTGGAGGCTTATGAAAAGCTTTCCTATCAGGGCGAACCCCGCCACTATACTTTGAACAAAGGGTACCCAGGATAACTAGAACCAAGTAGCACTAATAGGAAATAAATAATAACAAAAAAAAAAACCCTAAAAGGACTCGCTATAGAAAATTTAAGACCCGGGGTTCAGCTGGGAGTCACAGGTTTCTGAGCTGAGCTCCCTTGCAGATGCAATGCCTTTGCAAAGATGTTGCTGTTATAAGAAAAAAACGGTTCCTTTCCCCCATATGGGGTACCCTAGAGCCCTTATAGAGTCCTTATGTAGGTTCTCTATCGGTAGGAGAAAATAACAGAGGCCAACCAGAGAATATTGAGAAGCAAAGCAGCTAGTAAGCCTGGTCTTATTAACTGTTGCAACAGGGTCCCCACTCATCACACGCAGGAGGAGAGAGGAGGAACCCAGAACAATGGTGTGCAAGCCCTATAGTCTTTTGAAATTGCCCACCCTGTAGCTCAAGACGCCCCCCCCCAACCCCCATCATACATATATCACAGAAGGGGGTGGTCTACAGCAGAAATCCTGTTTGCCAGGATATCTGTTAATGGTCGCTGATTGCTTTACCTGGGCAGCCTGGCCATTCTTTTGTGATGGTAAATAGTTCCTGAATGCAGATCACGTTGTTGTTGTTGTTGTTGTTGTTGTTGTTGTTGTTGTTGTCGTCGTTTTCGTTTAGTCGTGTCCGACTCTTCGTGACCCCCTGGACCAGAGCACGCCAGGCACTCCTGTCTTCCACTGCCTCCCGCAGTTTGGTCAAACTCATGCTGGTAGCTTCGAGAACACCGTCCCACCATCTCGTCCTCTGTCGTCCCCTTCTCCTTGTGCCCTCCATCTTTCCCAACCTCAGGGTCTTTTCCAGGGAGTCTCCTCTTCTCATGAGGTGGCCAAAGTCTTGGAGCCTCAGCTTCAGGATCTGTCCTTCCAGTGAGCACTCAGGGCTGATTTCAGGGCTGAATCCGGGTCACAGGCTCACCCTATTCATACCCAAATGTGCCCTTAAGGCAGGATCTGTGAGCACAGAGACAATGGGGAGGCTTTTCGCATTTTCATCCAAACTGCAGAGGAATATTTGAGGTCACTGAAAGAGTCAAAATGGCTTCAGGATTGTTCTCCCATACTATTTAAGACACGTGGTTTATATATTTATGTATGTGTTTGCCTGGTGGGATGCGGGTGGTGCTGTGGGTTAAACCACAGAGCCTAGGACTTGCCGATCAGGTCGGCGGTTCGAATCCCCGCGACGGGGTGAGCTCCCGTTCCTCAGTCCCTGCTCCTGCCAACCTAGCAGTTCAAAAGCACGAAGTGCAAGTAGATAAATAGGTACCACTCTGGTGGGAAGTAACAGCATTAATATGAGAATTATAAGGTCTAAGATATAAAATGAAGGTTCATAAATGTATCAGGCAAAAGGTAAAGGGACCCCTGACCATTAGGTCCAGTCGTGGCCGACTCTGGGGTTGCGGCGCTCATCTCGCTTTATTGGCCGAGGGAGCTGGCGTACAGCTTCCGGATCATGCGGCCAGCATGACTAAGCCGCTTCTGGTGAACCAGAGCAGTGCACGGAAAAGCCGTTTACCTTCCCGCTGGAGCGGCACCTATTTATCTACTTGCACTTTGACGTGCTTTCGAACTGCTAGGTTGGCAGAAGCAGGGACCGAGCAACGCGAGCTCACCCCATAGCGGGGATTCGAACCGCCAGCCTATGATCGGCAAGCTCTAGGCTCTGTGGTTTAACCCAAATTATGCTCCAAATCCCTCTCCCAGTGTCTCATGACAGATTTAACCTGCGTTCATCCTTTGTGTGCCATTCCAGAAGCAATTTATACATTTTCGACAGGAGTTTTATATTATTTGTGAGTGAGTGGTTTGTTAATGTGCAGAGGAGACTCTTTGTCTTTTTCTGCTGGTGTGGAGAGGCAAGGGATGGGGGGGGGGTCTCTCACCCCACTTCCAATTTCCTCGTAACACCTGTAACAGAGCCAGTTCCATCGATCCAGTGGTCACATGTGGGGGAAGGGATACTTGTAGGCAAACTGGTCCCAAGGTAAGGACTTAATATATCAACAGTACTTTATTTTCAAATAACCTTGAACTTGGCCTGGCGGAAAACCGGCAACCCTTGTAAGCCTCTGAGCTCAGAGGTTTACGTGCTGACAAGGCCTCGCTCCCGTCAGCAGTCCTGCTGCAGCATTTAATTGGCTATATCCAGCGTTCAATTGGTGATGGTTCTGCTTTCCCTGCTGGGATGGAGAGAGGCACTTGTGGGATTTTTCTCCAGGACCAAAATAACTTAACTGGCTTGGTCCGTGCCTTGGCGTGGTGTTGTTGTCGGAGATTTGCTTCTCAGCCTGAAGCAGGGAAATACCTCGGGACGACTCTGTCTGCGTCACCCGTCACCAGAGGCTCCTCTTTGCATCTGTGCCGTTTTCCTTTATCCTGAAAGAGCCCTTTCCTCTGCTGATTTGAAAGCCAAGCGTGTCAAAATATTCACTGGGTGCAAATCCATCAATAAACTCTTTGTTTCTTCAAAGAAACCACCTCAGATTCTGCTGAAGTGTGCAAAACGGCAGGCTGTGTGTAAACCATGGGTAGGCAACCTAAGGCCCGGGGGCCGGATCCAGCCAATCGCTTTCTAAATCCGGCCCGCGGACGGTTCAGGAATCAGTGTGTTTTTACATGAGTAGAATGTGTGCTTTTATTTAAAATGCATCTCTGGGTTATTTGTGGGGCATAGGAATTCATTCATTTCCCCCCCTCAAAATATAGTCCGGCCCCCCACAAGGTCTGAGGGACAGTGGACCAGCCCCCTGCTGAAAAAGTTTGCTGACCCCTGGTGTAAACCTAAGTGCTCATGCACAGGGTGCTTATCTGTGGGTGTGCGCTGGATGATGAATGCACCCATTTCCCTGCTTGGAGACTGAGGTTGGGAAGGTGCCAGGAAGGGTGACCAGAAGGATCAGGGGAAAGGTGTTAAGTTGTGGGTGAACATATCAGATGACACAGTGATTCTTCAAACAGCTCTTGATTATTCACAGGCCAGAACAGAACTGAACTGAAGGGTTCAGCCAGCCTGCTTATATAGAGCTCCACTACAACGCAACTGTAACAACTTTCTGTAACTATCCAATCACCGAATGTCACTTTCAATCCCTTATTTGCATATGTGGACCTGAGTGAAAACTATCTACAGTATTCCCCTGCTGGCCCAGGGTGAGAACTTCAGTACATAACAGAAGGAAAGTCTGCAATCTTTAGTTTAGATAAAAGAGGAGTAAGGGGAGGCATGACAGAGTTGTATAAAGTTATGCATGGTGCTGGGAAAAGAGGATAGGGAGAGGTTTTTCTCTCCCAAACCATAGAATTGTCAAGTTGAAAGGGACTCCTGAGGGTCATCTATTGCAACCCCCTGCAAGAATCTCAACTAAAGTAAAGAAGACCATCCAATAGAAAGTTCTTCTGAATGTTTAGTCAGAATCTCCTTTTTTGTTATTTGAATCCATTGGATTGGGTTCTCCGGCGGAAAACAAGCTTACTCATATCTCCTCTCGGTCTCCTCTTCTCCAGGCTAAACATATCCAACTCCTTCAACCGTTCCTCATCAGGCTTGGCTTCCAGACCTTTGGTCATCTCGGTCGCCCTCCTCTGCCCACTTTCCAGCTTGTCAACATCCTTCTTAAACTGGGGTGCCCAGAACTGGGCACAGTACAAATTCAGGGCATAGCTGTCAACTGTCCCTTATTTGGCGGGAAACCCCCTTATCCCAGCGCTGTGTCCCACTGCTGTCCCTTATTGATAATGTCCCTTAAATTTCCCGGGTTTCAAAGGAAGCAGCTCCTCTCCCTCCCTCCCTCCCTGCTGGCCAGGGAGGAGGGAGGCTCCACCTGTGTTGCTTGGCTGCGCTGCTCACCCAATAAGGAGTCTAAGAATGACTGGGGGGTGGAGCTTGCATGCCTTGTGCCGATCAAATCGGCCGCATTGCCTGGGGATTCGCCTTTGCTCAGCGCTTCCCAGCGGAGAGGTGACGGTGGTTTCCCTTGCTGCATCCCCTTTGCCGGGTTGCTGCGCTGTGGGAACCACCGCTTGAGGCTTCCTTTGGCTGCTGGCTGGGCTTTCTGCCTTTGGCTTGGAGGGGCTCAGAAGTTGAACATACCTGTGCTTGGAAAATCCCTTATTTTCGAGGCTGCTGGTCCCTTATTTTCAAATCTGTAAGTTGACAGCTATGATTCAGGGCCATCCAGTGAAGGCGAATGATGGAAGATTCAGGACAAGGGGAAAATAAGTACTTCTCCACACAGCGCATAGTTAAAATATGGAACTTGCTCCCTTTCTTTACAGGCCCAAAAGCACCGGGCTCCCATGCTATGATTAAAAATATGAGACTTCCTTTCCAATGACTATCATTATTATTATTTATCAGATCCGTATACCACCCTTCATCTGACAATCACAAGGCAGTTCACAATGCAAAAACAAAAAATGCAAACGCAAAATAAAAAAGGAAAACAAACCAATGCCTGGATAGCTCAGCTGGTTAGAGTGTGGTGCTGATAATGCCAAAGTTGCAGGTTTGATCCCCGTATGGGGCAGCTGCATATTCCTGCCTTGTAGGGGGTTGGACTAGATGATCCTTAAGGTCCCTTCCAACTCTGCAATTCTATGATACCAATAATCCCCCTCCCACAAGCACATTTAAAAGGGCGTAGATTTATTAATCAGCTAAAGGCCTGGTTGAAGAGGAATGTACCTAAAGGTACGTAATGAAGGTGCCAGATTAACCTCCCTGGGGACAGCATTCCACAAACAGGGAGCCACCACAGAGAAGGCCCCGTTCTCATGTTGCCGTCCCCCAGATCTGTCATGGAGGAGACACACAAAGAAGGGCCTCAAATGGTCAAAGCCAGCATTTTGGCTGCCTTTCTGCACCAAATTAGGGACACGGGTGGGTCTGTGGGTTAAACCACAGAGCCTAGGACTTGCCGATCAGAAGGTCGGCAGTTCGAATCCCCGCGACAGGGTGAGCTCCCGTTGCTCGGTCCCTGCTCCTGCCCACCTAGCAGTTCGAAAGCACGTCAAAGTAGATAAATAGGTACTGCTCCGGTGGGAAGGTAAACAGCGTTTCCGTGTGCTGGTTCGCCAGAAGCGGCTTAGTCCTGCTGGCCACATGACCCGGAAGCTGCACGCCGACTCCCTCGGCCAATAAAGTGAGATGAGCACCGCAACCCCAGAGTTGTCCGCGACTGGACCTAACGCTCAGGGGTCCCTTTACCTTTACCTGCACCAAATGTAAAAGATCACAGCAGGGTGGGTTTGCAGTGATGTGTGAGGACATCACGGAGGCTTTAAGCCTGCCTGTCTTCCTCAGTGGGGAGCCGTGTTGTGTTGGGGGACTCGGACAGCCTCTGCTGTACGGTCCGAGCACGGAATGGAGCGGACTGCAGGGGCCGTCTGCTGTGGCCGGCTGAGGCTCCCCCTGCCAGACCTAGCTGCTCCCCTGTGGGCTGAGACGAGTCGCTGAGCTGGGTCTGACGGGAGGCAGCCTGAGCACAGCCTCGTCTGGGTTTTCTGACAGGAGCCAGACTGATGCACAGTGGGGAGCCCGGCTTGCAAGATGCATCGAGAAGGGAGCTCCCCTGCCCTCGCCAGAACGCCCTGATGCCAGTCTCCAGCACTGACAGGACCGGCCCACACTTGAGGAAAGCTGAGGGGACCGCCTCTGCTGGCAGGATCTACAGGGGCAGCAGACCCAGCCTCCAAGTAACGCGTTGCCCTGTAGTGATCAGGTGGGATTGCTATGCGGAATTATGACAAATATGGAGTAAGCCATTTGTGTCAGCAATGAAAGCATTGCGTTGACTGGGTTTAAGCCATTTTGATATGATTTTTGATCAACCCACACCTCTGCATCTCTGTCCTATTTCTCTTGATTGACAAGTCACGTACACAGGCCAGTTGCTTCATCAGGCATCCTGAGGCCATAAAAGATAGTAGGCAGTTTCTTAGATGTTGTTGTTTAGTTGTTTAGTCGTGTCCGCCTCTTCGTGACCCCCTGGACCAGAGCACGACAGGCCCTCCTGTCTTCCACTGCCTCCCGCAGTTTGGTCAAACTCATGCTGGTAGCTTCAAGAACACTGTCCAGCCATCTTGTCTTCTGTCGTCCCCTTCTCCTTGTGCCCTCCATCTTTCCCAGTGTTACCGGAAAAATCCGAGGGCTCCCTTGGACAAAATAAAAACACCAACCAGGATAACTTGGAGCAAAACAGCAGCCTGTAGGCTTGGCCTTTATTGAACTGTTGCAACAGGGTGTTCCCCTCACTTGCGAGAGAGGAAAGACCCAGAAAGATGGTGTGCAAGACCTTATAAAAACTTTTGAAATTCCCATCCTCTAGGTCAAGCCCACCCCCAGAAACATCATGCATACATTACAGAAAGGAGGGGTTGAGGGAGGAGTTGTGGTGGTAACCTGAGTGTCCTGTCACCTGGCTGGTTCCTCCTTTCCCCTGCCCATGAGTCACTTCCAGGAGACAAAGGGGAGTTGGCAGTTTCCTGCCCCCAGAGGGAAGATCTGATCATTGTCCTTTGTTTCAGTCCATGCTGAATCCACTCCCATATGCAAGTTCTTTGTGATCTTGATGGTCTTCTGTCTAGGACCATCAGGGTTGGCATAGCAACTGGGCAGGGCTCCTGTGGATGTGCTGGGATGGTGAAGGGATTATGGCTGACCAGAACCAAGCCACCCCCCTTTGATAGTCCTTGTCATATGGAGTAAAATAAAAATGGAACAGTGCAAATCCGATGTATGGTTGATTTTTCTATGAATTTATAACAGAAGTGTGGCATATGTAGTGTGTGAGTGTGAGTGTGTGAAGTTTGTACAAACTGAATGATTGGGGTGGGGGGTTCCTGCTACACCAGCATCAGGGTCTTTTCCAGGGAGTCTTCTCTTCTCATGAGGTGGCCAAAGTCTTGGAGCCTCAGCTTCAGGATCTGTCCTTCCAGTGAGCACTCAGGGCTGATTTCCTTAAGAATGGATAGGTTTGATCTTTTTGCAGTCCATGGGACTCTCCTCCGCTCTTCCTCAGTAGCATGTTGGACGCCTTCCAACCTGAGGGGCTCATCTTCCAGCGTCATAACTTTTATATGCCTGTTGTCTTTGTCCATGGAGTTTTCTTGGCAGGGATACTGGAGTGGCTTGTCGGTTCCTCCTCCAGGTGGATCACGTTTCGTCAAAACTCTCCACTATGACCTGTTCAGTTTCTTAGATGTACCCTTCCTTGATTTTGTTAATCTTAGGGCCTGGAAATAGTTTCACAGGAAGGTGATAAAGATACCTATCTCATTGTATTGCAGGAAAAACCCCCTCCCAATCATTCAGTTTGTACAAACATGACACACACTCACACACGACATACACAACACTTCTGTTATAAATTCATAGAAAATTAGTTGTACAACGGATCTGTACCGTTCCACTTTTATTTTACACCTTGAAGGAAGGACTATCAAAGGGGGGAGACTTGACACAAGGCAACCATAATCCCCCAAGCGTGAGCCCTACCCAGTTGGCATGCCAACCTTGATGGTCCTAGACAGAAGATCATTACACTCACAAAGGACCTGCCTATGGAAGTGGATTCCGTACGGACTGAAACAAAGGACAGTGACCAGCCCTTCCCTCTGGGGGCAGGAAACAGTGAACTCCTCTTTGTCCTCAGGAATGTAATCATGGGGAGGGGGAAAGGAGGAACCGGACAGGTGACAAGATACTCAGGTTACCACCACAACTCCTCCCTGAACCCCTCCTCTTTGTGATGTGTCAGTGATGTAGTCATGATGTAGTTATGATGTAGTCTTAGGGGTGTAGTAGCTAATAAAAGTTGGGGTCTTCTTTTGTTCGGGGTTTCCATCTTGTTCCACCTTGTGGCAGGTGGGAGTCCTGTCGCAACAGTCTTCAATCAAGACCAAGCCTACTGGCTGCTGTTTTGCTCTGGTATTCCTGGCTGGTGTCCTTGTTTTTTGTCCAAGGGAGCCCTCAGATTTCTCCGTTAACAGTTTGGTGACCACGAAGGGAATCGAACCCTCAATCTTCTAAACCGTGCAGCTTCCGGGTCATGTGGCCAGCATGACTAAGCTGCTTCTGGTGAACCAGAGCAGCGCACGGAAACACCGTTTACCTTCCCGCCGGAGCGGTACCTATTTATCTACCTGCACTTTGATGTGCTTTTGAACTGCTAGTTTGGCAGGAGCAGGGACCGAGGAATGGGAGCTTACCCCATCGCGGGGATTCGAACCGCCAACCTTCGGATCGGCAAGTCCTAGGCTCTGTTGTTTAACCCACAGCGCCACCCGCGTCCCAAGACCACCCCTGAAAACAACATACAAGCATCACAGAAGGGGCGGTCTACAGCAGAAATCCTGCCTGCCAGGATACCTGATAATGGTCACTGGTTGTATCACCTGGGCAGCCTGGCCATTCTTTTGTGATGGTTAATCCTTTAGTTCCTGAATCCAGGTCACAGGCTCACCCTATTCATCCACAAATACGCCCTTAAGACAGGATTTGCAAGCAAAAATGTGCCTCCCTCCTTGCAGAGAAATATATCGAGGTCAGTTTGAGAGGGTCAGAATGGCTCCAGGATTGCTTTCCCTTACTATTTCAGACACGGGGTTCATATCTTTAGATATGTGTGCATTTATGAATATTTGTTCTATATTTGAGACCTTAGAATTCTTATAACAGTTCTAACTTGGCACTGAGTGCGAAAGTCCTTTCTTCTCTCTGTCCTGAATAATGCAGCAGGAGAATCCCAGAATTAGCCAATCACATGGGGCCCATTGTTTAAATACAGTAGTACCTTGGGTTAAGTACTTAATTTGTTCCGGAGATCCATTCTTAACCTGAAACTGTTCTTAACCTGAAGCACCACTTTAGCCAATGGGGCCTCCTGCTGCTGCCGTGCCGCCGGAGCACGATTTCTGTTCTCATCCTGAAGCAAAGTTCTTAACCCGAGGTACTATTTCTGGGTTAGCGGAGTCTGTAACCTGAAGCGTATGTAACCTGAAGTGTATGTAACCCGAGGTACCACTGTAATGTATATAAAGCAGACATTTTGGGGGAACTTCCATTCCTCACTACTATGAGCTGAATAAAGAGCATGAAATCCACACTCAACTCCGAGTATATTTCAGTCACATAGCCAGGATGTGGCGAGGAGGAACGTCAACAGGCCCTGACAAGTGCCCTGGGAAGGAAGCTTCGCACCGGAATCTAGACTGCGCCACCATTCGTCATGCGCAGCCCTTGGAGGAAAGAATGAGAGGGAGGGAGGGAGAGAGACGCAAAAATGCTGACGCTGGTTTTTGCAACTCCCCTGGCGGCTATAGAGTGAGAGAGCGAGAGAGAGAGCATTACCACCATGCAAACCTTTCTCTGAACACCGGAGCGGATTCCCAGCCTGGGTCAGCCGGGGGCAAAGCGCTGAGCATATTTTGTTCTTTCCCACGCACCTGCAAGCCTTTGTCTGCGGGAAATGTCAAGGGCCCAGAAAGCCCAGCCGCTTCTCTCGCTCTTCAGTTGAGAGGCCTCGTCGTGGCCGCCCACGTTTCATGGAAGTCGGGGGGTGCGCAGGACAGGGCCATGAGAAGACCTTGATGGGCCAAGCTAAGGTCCCCGATAGTCCAGTACGTTTCCGAGCACAATTCAAAGTGTTGGTGTTGACCTTTAAAGCCCTAAATGGCCTTGGTCCAGTATACCTGAAGGAGCGTCTCCACCCCCATCGTTCTGCCCGGACACTGAGGTCCAGCGCCGAGGGCCTTCTGGTGGTTCCCTCATTGCGAGAAGCAAAGTTACAGGGAACCAGGCAGAGGGCCTTCTCGGTGGTGGCACCCGCCCTGTGGAATGCCCTCCCACCAGATGTCAAGGAAATAAACAACTATTTGACTTTTAGAAGACATCTGAAGGCAGCCCTGTTTAGGGAAGTTTTTAATGTTAGATGTTTTTTATTGCATGGGTAGGCAAACTAAGGCCCGGGGGCCAGATCCAGCTCAATCACCTTCTAAATCCGGCCCCCGGACGGTCCAGGAATCAGTGTGTTTTCACATGAGCAGAATGTCTGCTTTTATTTAAAATGCATCTCTGGGTTATTTGTGGGGCATAGGAATTCGTTCATCCCCCCCCCCCCAAATATAGTCCTGCCCCCCCACAAGGTCTGAGGGACAGTGGACCAGCCCCATGCTGAAAATGTTTGCTGACCCCTGTTTTATTGTATTTTAAATATTCTGTTGGGAGCAACTCAGAGTGGCTGAGGAAACTCAGCCAGACGGTGGTGGTGGTTGTTAAAAACTTCCCTAAATAGGGCTGCCTTCAGATGTCTTTAGGATAGCTGCTTATTTCCTTTACATCTGAAGGGAGGGTGTTCCACAGGGCAGGTGCCACCACCGAGAAGGCCCTCTGCCTGCTTCCCTGTAACTTCGCTTCTCACAGGGAAGGAACCACCAGAAGGCCCTCGGAGCTGGACCTCAGTGTCCGGGCAGAACGATGGGGGTGGAGACTCTCCTTCAGGTATACTGGACCGAGGCTGTTTA